ATTTTAGGACATTATATGCTATGTGAAAAAAAGTAATTTACCCAATATGACAAATGACGTGCTATGAAACAGATAGAGCAATTACTGTATCACCATCAAATCTTCACAAGTAAAACAAAGATTGTTTCAAAAATTTTGACTTTTTAGCTGCTTCCTTTTTACATAACGACCTCAAATCTTTCATAATCTAACTTCTCCTGGTCACAGGAAAGCTGTCACTTTCCTCTGTGCATCAGTTACAAATCTACCTCAATGCTTTTTTTTCATTATTTTATTTTTTATTTTGTGCAAGAAGTGATCATTTACCACTATGGCTATCAGTGGGAAGGATGATGGTATAATATTATGTCCATATTATACTTATCCACTCAAAAACACAAATAATATTTTCCTTTTGAATTCACATAGAATTCAAAGTCATAGGAGACTTTTCTGCCTTTGTTGATTGGAGGACAACACAGCTGTTGGAGAAAATGTCTAGTGTGTAGTAAACTTGACAGATCAAATTCTGATCAATACACCACATGTAAGAAAAAAGAAAACACTCACTTTTGCTCTAAGAGAATTGCATACAGTATCTTTCCCTGGAAGGGAGAGGCAGTCCATTTAGCAAGCAATCAAGTAATCTGATGAAGTCAAATGAATGGGAGTGGGCTGGAATGGCTAATCGCCTGTGGAAGCATTTTATCGCATAGGAACACATTTAAGTGGTATTGTGTCAGTGTAGGCTACTCTGGAGGAGGCTGTGAAATATCACAGTCTGCCAGGGTGTGAACTGACATGACTCTGTGCTCTTTATGGCAAAGAAACATAATTTCAGCCAACTAAGTCTTGCTTGACAGGCTTCAACGTTAGCAGGGAGCGAGCCCATCGTAAAGCAAACATGGCAGACAAACATCAGCATGTGAAATTTCAACATATAAGACTTTCATCCAGGTTGCTGACTCGATTTCTATTTATATCAGCTGTCAGCTGTAGTATAAACAACACATACTCACATTTCCAGACTCTGTCATGCCACATGTGTGAAAAGAAAAAGAGTGACAGGCTCCATTTTTTTTTTTTTTTTTTTTTGGAGTGGACAAGTGTAACATGTGCTGTGACTGCTCTCCTCTCTCTCTCCATGGAAATGCTCCTTCTAATTAAATCCATCTGCATTCCAGAGTGTCGCCATAATTATCGCACAAGATCTGCATTGTGCCATGGAGCTTTATAAAACCTGCCACAAAGAGCCGTAGTGTTGCGTAGAAGCTTGGAGCAAAATGGAGACTAATGTACAGCGAAGGAGTAATCTGTTTATTTCATATGCATCCAGAATATCTCATAATGTATTCAGAATTAGCCAGTGATATGACATTTTCTGGATTTTGCCAATGAGATAATAAATTCCTTTAGCTTTCAAGTGACCAAAATGGTCAGCGCTGTAATTTCTTAACTAATCATTTGCATAACAACAGTAGGAATGTCAAACTTTGAGTTTGAGCAGGCAAAGTCTAAAGAAAACACCTTACAATCTTCAATAATCATTGATTAAGACCTCTGCAAATGATCACAACACAACATATTACATAGAAATTGGATCATTTTTCAAAGCATAGTTGAATACTTTTGGAAATTAACTCATGGACAAACTAATCATTGCTTCTGAAGAGGCATTCAGTCCCTGTGGACAAAAAACAAACAAACAGTTAAATAATCAGCATTAGATCTTTGCATGAAATAACACCTCCTGTTCATCATTGTGCAACGGAGCGCCTGGGCAAAAAAAAATCATCTGTGCTGCAAGTGGCAGCTGACTCATGAACATGGATTTATCCGATGATGTCAGATAGAAACCAGAAGTCTGCTAATTTTCATCTTTACTCCAACTGTGGGGTTAAATGGAAAATTACGAGATGTTCTTAACCAACTCTTTTCCTGATTAAAGTCCCATCTATTTGTTTTAACGATTCACATGTCAGACTGAGGGTGGCATTAGTTTTGCTGGTTGGACCTTTGTTTTCAGATTATTGCTCCACTGAATGTAGAAAAAAATAAATAGTTTTATTGTACTATGTTCTGCTCAGCTAAAGCTCCTGGCGGGATTTAACTCAACTGGAAAAACAGAGGGGAAAACTGGAGGCAAAAGCGGAACAGTTCGTCCTCCTTTGGTGCTGTTTTGGCTGTTTTTGCAGACATGGATTAGAGGAGCTTGATCCTACAAGCTGAAGAGGGCTTTCAGCTCATGTCTCTGACAATGGCCCCTTAAGTGTTTAGATAAATATCTTTTGTTCCCATTTCAACAGTGCTCAAATATTGCAGGTTTTAGACTTAGAAAAAAAGAAAAGATGTTCAGAGCAATGCAATAAGACTGTTTTTTCTGGTTACTTTAATGTATTTCAGTGGGATTTTTTTAATGAGTTTAGTACATGTCTGCAAATTATTATGCAAGTGATATTTTCTCTGATTTTCTTAAATGGTCAGTGCAAATGATGGTCAGTATAACTATCAAGTCGTGAACTATATGAGTGGATTTAACATGGGACATATGGTATTAGCTATTTCTCTTACATATTAGTCATGTTTAGTAGTGTATACTGAATGGAGAAAGTAAATTACAGACAACATGCTGGTGATGCTCCACATGCTACTGACAGTATTCACGCTAACATTAGAATTTTGGCTCATTTTAGCTTTTATACTAATTTCAACATACTGAATCGTGCAAGTCCATGTTAGTAAACATTCTAGTTGCATGTATAAATGTGCTTCAACACTTAGGAGCTGCTTCTTTAAGTCTTGTAAAAAAAAATAAAAAAAATAAAACTGCCATTTGTGGTTCAGCGAGAACAAAGTGATGTTTTTGGTGCTCTTTGCTTGACTTTTTAATAAGTGTGCAGTAATATTCATCATATACGCCATGTTTTTTTAAGCTCTATCTTGCTCACTGAAAATAGTAAAAAAAAAAACACAAAAAAAACTGGGTTCTATTTTAATCCGCCAAAATGGAAGATCATGTCATCCAGCAAAGACAGCAGCGGTATTGTTTCGACATAACTGCTGAAGTACGGTTAATTGTTGCTGATTTGATGACTGATGGAAGGCTCAATTCGGCGAACGATCCCCACTAATCAGGCGTCAATCAGACACGGTGCATAAGAAATGTAATTGTATCTCTGTATCTGGGCCTCACATGTTTTGTGCTCCGTCTTTAGTCCCTCCTGAAAGTGAAAGTGTGTCATCTAGAGAATGCCGCCAACAGCTACAGCTCCTGAGCTGTTCTGGGTATTGGGGGATTACATAAACCAAACCGACAACAGTGTGGAAATGACTTCCAGTTGGTGTGTGTGCGTGCATGTGTGTGTGTGTTCAGTTCCTCCTATGGTTCTTCAGCTCCCTGACAACTGAAGCCAAAGCATCTCCAATGACTCTCTCCATGGGGAGTCTTGTTTTGCATTACCATTAAAGACACATATGGGGTGTGTGTGAGAGAGAGACTGTAGTGCAGCATCTATTCACTGGATCAAAAACTACGCCTACAATCTGCGAGTAGACTGCGACAACATGCAGGGTTTCTGTGAATGCATTTGCAGGATTTCTCAACCCCTCTTTTTTGCTGCACATTTTCCAAACCTGTGAATGAAAGATGAAGAGGAGAGTGTGCAAAAAAGGAAGAGTGGCATCGCAGACCTCTGCAGTGCTTCTCATTTCTTCTGAGCAAGCAGCCGAGTGGTGCCGTGTAATGTGGGGATTTTTATTTATTTATTTTTGTGGCTTGTTTTGCATCAAAACATGTCATCCTGTGCGAGAAAGAAGCCGGCTTGATGCACGCAGCGCTTTCGGTGGGGCACAAATGTTCCTCGCTGCTATTTCTTCAAGCAAAAGACACAGCAGCCTGGCAAAATAACTAAAAAGAATACGTTTGTTTTATATCTTCTACAAAATGCTGAAGAAACATGTCACACAATAAACAAAGCCCAGACAAATAAACAGCCGAAAATCTCAGTGAGTAACCGAGACTGATCGCAGGCCTGACTGTCAGCTTCATAGGAAACCGAGAAGCTTGGCTCTGGCACAACGTTTCACCATCACATTCAGCAGCTGGTGACCAATCCAATCAGATATGGTTGGGAAAACTTAGCTCTCCTTGCCTCATTATCCCCTGAGCATCTTGATTCACATCTCCGGCAGTTTAATGTGGGTGAAATGAGTCTTTTTAAATCATTGCGGATGCAGATGAGTCACTGTTTAATTGACAATACTGACAAACACAAAAATGTAAAAAATTATATCTTTTATATTATACTTTTAGGAGGGCTTGGCATCGCGTGTTTCAGTTGTCGAAACACAGAAAAAAATCTACTTTTTGTGTAGCGCTCTAAAATACATTTCTAGTAGCAGTAGCATATTCTCGTCTCATTGTCACGCCATTGATCCCTACCCATACATAAAAAGTGCATTTCAGCTTATTACTCTTTATGTACTTTCATTACCTAGCCATTTAAAAATGCACAAACCTCATAAAATTATGAAACACATCCCGTTCTTAATCATTCTCTGTTTTGTCACTTGAACCTTATAACAATCTTATTAACGTTATATTAAGACTTCCTGATTGAACTGAAAAACATTTAAATGTCCTGATCTTATATTTGGTGCAGTCATATAACATTTCCCAATAGTTAATTATGAGTGGAATATAGAAAAGTTTTTAAATTGTCTCTCGCTAAAGCAAACAGAGGCAGCAGATGGCCCAAATGCACCCGAAGCATACAAATAGCACATAATTTTGTCTTTGTTATGTTGATGGACTTTCCATTGTATAAATTTAAGTTCCAGGAAACCAGAAATAATGGCTTGATGCTAAGATAATAAAAAAATAATAAATCTTCTATTTAATTTACATATCTATTAATATTTTTAACATTTGTCAGCTTAATTTTTTTTCTCGCCCACATTATGAACTCAAATTTAAAATTGATTTTTTTTTCTAAAAACGTCAGTGTGAGTTTATGTTACTGTTATAAAATTTATTTTTGAGGAATTTTACACCTTCACAGTTGCCAGCAATAACATAAAAAAACAAACAAACATCTCCCACTGCAAGTTGTTGTCATTACAAATAGGAACCTCTGCATTATTGTGAAACAGTGCATGGTCAAATACGACAACATTATAACATCTCTCCGACAAGTCACGGAATATGTTGTTGACACAGGTTTGGCTGCTATGCAAAAGAAATACGATACGACATAGACATATAATCTTGAACTGGCGAAACAGTGCAGCTGAAACCTGTAGCACATCAAATCAGCATCCAAACTAACACTCAAATGGTTCGAAAACAGATGGCAACACAGATACAATAAATACATTTTTTCCCATATATGTGATAAATCAGTGAAAGGAGCAGTTTGAGCATTTTCTGGTAAATCAGCTCTATTACTCAGAAAGCCAAGAGAACAACAGTAAATACGTGTTGTATTTCCTGTTGTCATGAGTCTTACTTAAAAGAAAAAAAAAGTCAAAAAATGTCCATTAATAAACTACAGCAAGGTGATCGCTTTTCACTAGAATAGGCTAACCAGACATGTTAGCAATGAACCTTATAAACTGAAACAGTTATATTATTAAACTTGATCACCTCACTTTGGCTGTTTTATCATCACACAATTGTGACAAAAATATTTCTTGTTTCCTACTATGATTGATACTGTCCCCACCGGTCATTTGGTCCACTTCACTTAGCAGTGTACTACTTATAATCCTAACAAAAAGCCTTCTTATGGACTACAGGGAACTGAAGCCCAGTAATTACATCCATATTTCAATAAGCTTGGTGCTTATTTTGTGCTTCCCTCCAGCCCAACACAGCTATCTCAGTTCATTCTTCCATTGCTCTGCACAGTGCAATAAAACCCTTAAGCGTTAAGTGCATGGTAGCAAATATCTGGTGCTGCGTCTGTGGGCTTGCGCGACGTTGGCTGAACTGTACAGACGTTATCAACTTCCTGTAACAGCAGCGCACGTGCTTCTTCATCTTATTAATTTCATTTTCGCGAGAACGAACGGCTTCTAGTCCAGCTCAATTCCCAGCGTTAGTGTTCTGAAAACGCTTCCATTTAGACTCTTGTAAACAAACACTCTGAATCAATATCGAAAATCTTTTCCAGCATGATGGTCTCTTACCATTAGTTTCTAACAGCAGTAATTTGAGGCTGATGGTGAAAGAGCCTGTGAAGGTTAATGGTATGGAAGAGGTCACAGATTGCTTCATTCACTCAGGTCTATTATCAAAAATGTACTCCTGATTTCGCTTTCTATTTTTCCCACAGAATGTGTATATACAGGTGCAAAATATAAAGACCTGGTGACATAGAGAGGAGGGGGAAAATGTGATAAAGAATTGGGAGCAGCCCTGAAAATCAATCAGGAAGCCATCTGGCATGGCGGCACTCTGGAGACACCGACAACTGTCTACTCCTCTGCTGTTTCCCTCCGCATGGCCTGAGGGAGACCCACACAAGTAAGGAATAGTCCATTCTGACGGATGAATGCTGAAACAGCGTCAGTATTCACATCAGTGTGACCCGCCAGAGTAAAAACATGTGCTAGCAATGGAAGAACCCCAGGCCTGTGCAAACATTTGGAGTGCAGCCAATTTCTTTTCTTGCGATCTTAGCAATACTGATTTATCTCACCGAGAGGCTTTTTTCCTCCACTGATATTAAATTATGTAACACAAACTTTAATGTATTTATAAATAGACACACATGGGCGAGTTAGAACACTACGACTCTGATTTCAGTGCAGAATGATGTTGGTCTGCAACCATCACCAGATGACTTAACTCTTGTTACGGCAAATATGACGAGAAGCTTTAAAGAAACCTTTTACGAACACAAAACTGAAAGAATATATTTGCAGCCAAGATACTGTATACAGTATTTCAGCCACTAAACTGGAATTTACAGTTTCACTCAGAAGTTCACATGCAGTCATGGAATTAATTTGACCCTGCTTCAAATGTTTCCCGTCAGTCTATGACGGTTCTACCATTCAAAATAGAGCTTATAAAAACACAAACCGGCTGAACAAGTTCGAATTTTACTGTGCATTTTTTCGGAAATCCTCTCTGGGCCACAATATGGATACATTCAGGTCAAAAAGTTGTCAGCAACTTTTAGTTTATTGCTTGCAATGCTGTTCTCAGAAACCAGTAGGAGTTCTAAGGATTTTTGGCATTTATTTACCATAAGATCAGACTTTGCTTAGAGCTTTGAGTTTAGGGTTGACAAGGTATGCACAGCTTCAGTGCAAAATGAGCAAATACTATAATACTGATATAAAAGTCAGAAGAAGTTTCAAAGAAGAAAGCAAAGTCCAAAAAAAGGGCCTTCATAAATGTGCCATTCTTAACATACGAATTATGTTTATCTCTTGCAAAGTATACTGGTGATTTTTGTGGGAGTTGCATCTTGTAACCAAAGTTTTTGACCTATAGTGTGTAGGTTTAAATATATTACAACCCACAAATAAGTAGACAAATGTTCTTGTTGACAACTCTAAATCAATATTTCCTGGTGGAATTTATTTAAATTGGTTGGCTTCCTTGGACGTAACTGGTTTTAAATGATAGTTCTTTTGTTTTTTACAAGATTGAATTCAAGCAGCTCAATGTTTATTCATTCTAAAACCAGGTTTGATACTGGTTTGGGATTATTATGAGGCTGGAACACCCTACAGTCTGACAAACTCCCCACTGTGATTTGGGTCACCAACCATTTTGAAAATGGTTGGGATTGTTCTGGATTAATCCAGGAATCTCCAAAACTCCAGCCAGTCATAACCTGGGAGATTCACAGCAGCATAAATGGTAAAGGCCCTCTGAAGGAACGTTCCATGTTCAAATGAGACAAATGTTAAGCTTTTTGGCCAAAATAAATTGGAAGAAAGTTTAGAGAAGTAAAATAAGATCGAACCTAAATTAACGCCAAAAATAGTGGCAGCACTAATTTTTGCTCAAATTAATGGCAAAAATAGTGGCAGCACTAAGTGCTGTTCTGTGTGAACTCCTGCTTTCCTTTGCTGTTTTGTCTTTTTCTTTGGCTCCAGGCACCACAACACATTTCACTACTGCGTTGTTATTGTGCAGATGACAGATATATAAATCTAAAATCTAAGACACAGTAATTCCAACAGGAAAAGATTCTCAACACACATCAAAACTGGTTTGAGAGGGCATAAAACTTGTGACTGTTACGCTTCTTCTATGGCCTTAAACTCAACTGTTTTGAAAATTTATAAACTATGATTAAAAGCTAAGTTCATGCCAGGAAAGCAAGCAACTTAAATGAGCTCCATAATTTTTAATGAAAGAAGTAGTCCAATACCTGAATCTCATCAGGGGCAACAAAGAATTACAATGTTTGTCTGCAACCTGCTAAGGGACATTTACTCAAATATTAATAGAGCAGAATGTATAAATTTGAGCCTGTGTTTCGACTGGAAAAGGGAAAATCTAAAATAAATTCAAAGTCTGACTCTTGTGTTTTCAAATTGGCAAAGTTGCAGGTCACATAATAGCGAGCCCTGGTAAACAACAGTTTAAATAAAAGGATAAATGGCATTCAATGTGAATGATGAGTGTATGAAAACTTTTGAGTGGAACTGTTCAAAAATGACCCAGGACATTTCACTTCATGTGAAATGTGACATCAAAGCCGAGTAACAGAGTGGTTTTCCATGTTTTCAGTAGTAATGCGTTATGGTTAGGATCGCATAACACCTGCGATCTATGACTTTGCTTTTAAGTTTCTGCTATAAAGAAGCATCAAGCAGTCAACCTTTTCAAAAGGTTCCTATTAAAACACCCAATCATTTGTCCTTACTGGCACATGATGAAGCGAGGACACACTGACAGAAAGGATCAAACACAGAGAGGAGTGTTAGCCCCCTCTACAGGAGAAAATCCAAATATCAAGAAAGAGGCCCTCATGATGTGCTCAGAAAAAAATATCAGCCAGCCATTTAAAAAGCTCTTTTGGCAGATTTATAAATGCATAATTTCCGTCGGATTGATGCACAAGTTTCGGCGTCCTTATTTCTGCACAGGAAGCTGAAAGAGTCTCTGCAACAGCAATAAAATGGACAGAATGCCACCATATGCAATTTAGATCATCACTTAGTCTTAGACCAAGTCTGGCCCACTTTGAAAAATCGTCATAATTCCTATTGTCAGTTTTGTGCACTGCATGCATGAGAAAATATGAACTTTGTTGCAATTGCATGGAAGATTAAGTTGTTTGATTAGGAAGGGGGATCAGAGAGGAATCCTCAGCAGGTGAGATGCTCCATATATACAAAGTGTTTACAGCTTCTCCTCAAAAAACCACTTCTGGCGAAGGATGTCAGAGCAGGGCTGCAGAGCCGGGGCTGGTGTCCCATCGTCGGTCTGGTCCATTGCTTCAATGCACTTCTGGGTCTGGACATGGAGCAGAGTCCCATCCTAGAAACCACCATGTGGGGAAAAAGAAAGAAAAAAACTTTCTGTAAACAGGAAACTCATTTATATCTACAACACAAGGTTTTGTAAATTACTCATGTGGCAAAAATGTAGTTACAATGTGAACCTCTGGTCTATGCGAAAAACACTGAACAACAACAGAGAACAACACAAGCTGGCCAAGTGAAATGCAAATCCAGCATCCTTTTCCTGGGATATATCATGGTCTCTCCCAATACTATCCCACTTTCCAGCATCTTTCACTCTTCCAACATACATTTCATCTTTTCAGATCCATTTACATTTAGATGGCATGGCAGGCTGTCAGACACTGACATCCTGAAACTACATTCAGCACATGCTGAACAGCAATGTGTGGTAAATACACAGCTTGCAGTGCATAACTAAAAGGATAATGAGACTTTTTAATTGTTCCTTCAGAAATCTGAAAAGTGGATATATGTCTGTATTCTGCTCCTAGTGAGTCAATGCTGTACAGATTGACCTTTGATTATGAACATTTGAAAATCTTTTCAGAGATATATCTCTACCAGTTGTGTTCATCAAGAGATCTTTGTCTGATTGGACAGAGAGTTTCAAAGTTTTGAGATACATCTTTAAATTAATGTTGATCCTCCACATGTCAAATGTTGCTGGCGTCCTCATATTTACAGATCCGTATCCCTTTCTAGTCAACTTGGAAGGAGGCGAAGTTGTGCCACAAACTTTTGGATTGTGGCACAAAATGGGCAGAGTTGTGTCACGCTCTGCCCATTTTCAGCCAATGGATTGGTTTTATAACGTACCCCTGCTTTAAATGTCACTATAATTTTATCCCTGACCTTTCTGGCTTGTTTATTATGCTATTTGTTCACCGATGTTCTCTAATAAACCTGAGGCCTTCACTAAATAGCTGACTTATACTGAGAGTAAAATACTCACAGGTGAACCATTCTCAATAAACAGACTTTATATGGGGTAAGAGGGCCTAACACTGTGTAATTATGCTGATAAATAAAATATATGTCAAGCTGTAGCATGACAAAATATTAATAAAACTTTTTCTAACCAGAACAGACTACTAGCATTATTTGATAATCATGAAACCTAAAAAAAAACTTTTACACATTTATTTTTTTAGTTAAAAGCTACAGACACACAAAGTGGAAATAAATGTGGCCTCAAGATGATTTTGCAGTACCTTTCGAAAGATAAATTTCTGGTCCATGGGAACAGGTCGTCCTCGTTTCTCGCACTGTAGGACAGTCAGGTAAGTGCTGATGCTGTCATGCACAACACATCCAGCAGGATCTCTGGTATTGTAGCATATTTCCCCATTGACTGAATATTCAAAAAACTGTTGGGAGAACCCATCATGGATGCAAGACACAAACAAAGAAGCGGTTAGAAAAACCATTGTGCAACAGAATTTGCCTGTGTGCGTTTGTGGAGATCAAAAACAAGCATCACTGGTTACAGACTGTCAATGTAGAATGGAGCGATGCAGGGCAATCCCAAAAGGCTGACAATCCAACAACTACAGAAGTCATTTTCAACAAAAATGACATCAGCGCGTGTCCACAGAGGGGTGTTTCAGGCAGCACTGCTAAATCTCACAGAGCTCCCTGGTTTACTGACAACTAACAGAGGAAATAGAACTGAGAAATGGGCAGAATCCCTCTATAGACCAACACTGTGGATGTATTATAGAACCTGGAAAGGGTAAGTCCATTGTTAATAAATGTAAGAAATGAGGAGGGAGTGACTGTTTCAAGGTTCAGAGGACAGAAAACGGTTACTAAACAAAGAGCTGGTGAGTAAATAGTTTTGAGCTACAAGAACTAGAAACATAAGAACATTGAGACAACACTGAGATTACAAAGTCATGATTTAAGTAGAAATACATCTTTAAAAAGTTGTAGAGTAAAAAGACATAAACTAAATCAGTGGTTTATAAAAGACAGGCTCTGGATAACTGTTCACTCGGCATAAGCAGTTATGTCTCCAAATGGATTAAGATTAAACAACCACATCTGTGCAGAAGATCAGGATTAGCCTGGCTGACCTGAAGATTATGTTTGTGTTTGATTTTGACTGACTTTGACATTTGTTTTAAAAAGAAAAATTAGAGAGAACACATCTCTTTATAAGATCAGTGTAATGGGAGTGTATTGCTGTCTGCAATTTTTCTAACTATGACACAAAATGTAAATGAGCCTAGGGCTACACTACAAAGTAAGATAAACTACATTGGGGGCCATGAAGAGCCAGAAGAGTTTTTCGTATCGCTAAACTGTCTGACAGGGCTTACCTGGTTCTGACCCATGCCGTGACATGGATAGAGGATGACCCTATGACCTTCCAGCACCTGGTCATCCCCAGGATTGTAGTCAAAACAGTAGTTGGTCTTTCCTCGACTCTTCAGCTAGCAAAAAAAAAAAAAAAAATCACATAAAGGCATATTACAAAGGTTCAAACACACAATTCAATATTGCTCTTATTCCTATAAGCAAAGTTTTGCCAAAAAGTATTTGCTTTCATTTGAATTTGAGTGGCAGTCTGCATGCGTGGGTGAAAGATTTCTTTACTGACGGAGCAAAGAAAGTGACTGAAACATGCAAATTCACTGATTTTGAATATTTTTTGGCAGTACAGTAGTCCGTTCAGAAGCGTTCTAACCATTCCAAACATGCCCGGTCGATCATGTGGGACAAAAATGTCGGGGTAGACGTTATCCAGATACCACTTAAAGTTTTTGCACCCCAGCTTCTCTCTCAGTCTCCTCCTCTCTGTCACATCTCCAAAGGCTTCCTAGAAAAAAAAAAAGAAAAATTAAAACATAACTGACCTAATTGGAAACAACTTCGATAAATTCAGAGTTCATCCTTCTCTCCCAGATGCTGCATCATAACTTAGCCCTGATGTGAAAGGATGTACAACAGCACCCTCTATAGTTGTTTCATAACTCTGCCCATTTTTAAATATGTCAAACATTAATCACACACACAACATCATCAAATATTTCACAAGTAAGGCACTCCTTAATTCTAGTTAAAGAACAGAAGGATGTATATGTGTGTTTTGCATGCCGACAGCAATCTGCTTATGAAAATATCTTTAACAAACAGGCGTCACCACTCTGATAAAGATTAGCTGATTATTACAAGAAAACAAACACTTGTGCTTTGCCAGTGAGCATATGCTCACCACACCTTCACTGCTGGAAGAAGAATCTAGAAGCGCACCGCAGAATGATGGATGCTGGCCGTGTGCCCAAACACGGCTCTAATTGGCTCTTTATCAGTTTATCCAGTCATGAGACAGATTCCTAAAAGAGGTGGTCTTTTATCAAGTGCTAGCACCACTACAGACAAGGGAACAACAAGGGCTGGTGGAGCTGGAATGACCCAGTGCAAGAGTCATGTCTGAGGGAACGAGCGCTCTTCTTCCCTTTAGGAGACCGGGATGGGACAACAAGGAACGATACGTTGACGATGTGCTTGATATTCTTATTTGTGTTGGAAAAGCAAACACTTTGATTTTTCTTTTTTTGTGTGTGTGTGTACCTTAAGCACAAACATAGATGCGTCTTAATTTGGATTTTTATGTGATAGACCAACACAAAGTAGAGCTAAATTGTAAAAGAAAAACTACAAAGTGTGTTCTGAAATTTACAAATAAAACTGTGAAAAATGTTTCAAGTTTTGTAATCAGCTCCCCCCGAGTAAATACCTTGTAAGACCATCATTCACTGCAATTGTAGCAAAAAGTTAAAGACAACTCTGACCAGCTTTTATATTCCTGCTCAAAAAAAAAAGAAAACTATTCCCACAGCATGATGCTGCAACCATCGTGTTTCAAAGTGGCTATAAGGCTTTAAGACAACAATGCAGCATCTGTATTTCTGACAGAAGTCCTGATCTGAACCCTGATATTGGATCTGGGTCTTGTTCGCTGCATTTTTAATGGCAGGTAAAGCTACTAAGTTTTCAAGCACAAGGTATTGTTTTACTTAATTTTAATGCAGTATCAGGACTTGGATAACAAGCTGGGGAAATTAATGATTTTCCATTCGAAAATGTAGAACTCAAAGTACTCTGGACTTTTATTTTTTTGTTCATGGAGTTGTATTTAAAGCAATCACCTATTTTAAAATTATTTTGCTGAAAGAAATATATATTCTATTTTTTGTGGTATGAAAAAGCAAAGCATAGCTGCATCTTAGTTACATCACATCTATTTATGCTTTAAGTTATGACAAATCATTCATAGAAGGTTTAAAACGTTAAAATGCACAAACCCATTGCCTTCATTCATAGTGAAAAGTAACGCAGCATTGCTTGCTTTGAGCAATATTCCCTTTCAGCAAGGCTTCCTCCTCTCAGGGAGATGAGCGCCACCTGATCTGTGCTTCGAGAGCTTCTCCTCTTAACTACACTGTCACACACTCCACACACACACACACACACACACACACACACACACACACACACACACACACACACACACACACACACACACACACACACACACACATTAAGACAAGGCACCCCACAGGTTAGCACTGATATCACCCTGTCAAGGACAGGTGGGTGACACCCGCTGGCACAGAGTGACACGGAAAAGGTGGTAATCACACACCGGAATGCCCCGGCACTCCTGTCACCTTGAGTGTGTGTCGCTCATGTATCCTGAGAGTCACTTAATCAGGAGCAGCTTTTTACACCACAGTGGGGGAGCGGCCGTGCTTGTTCATGTGTAGTAGTATGAGGGAAAATGACACAGGCATGGGTGTCATTTACTGCCTCCGCATATCGATGCAGTAAACGACAGGCAGAAAAAGAAAAAAAAAAAAAACAAGTATGCAACTTTCGGAAGTGGACAATTAATCCCATCTAAATGTGACTCAATTCCTTTTTAAAGAGCGACATCGGCTATTTGACACCCATCAAACACCCTCTTACAACTTGTGTGGACTCACCCGTCGAGCATGGGGGTTGCGATGGTAAAAGAGCTCCTTGTACTCATCCATCCACACCTCTGCCGCCCTCACGCTGTTTGCCAACGCTTTGCTCCGTGAGTAAGGGGCCTTTTTGGGGAACACATGACCCACGTGGGAGCACGGGTGGATCTCCAGGCTACCCCCGCATTGCCAAATCTAAGAGACGAGAACCGCAGCACCACGAGGATTTGGTTAGCCTCTCTGCTGTGAATCAATCAGGCTACGCAAAGGGCAAATGCTGTGGAGGAGCTTGGATACAAAAAAAGGGCTATTGTTGCCACTACAGAGACATATTTTTGGTTACTACTCTTTTGGGATGTTGTATTTACTCCAGGAAAGAAATGTTCAAATTCTTCACAGCAATCAAATCATTTAAGGTTTTCACTCTGTTTTCTCTTGTAATGTAGTGTCAATGTGATCACTGTGGTTTGCAGAAGAATTTGTCACATGGTTTACAGTTAATTTAATCCAGCTCCAAATGTCTGTTCAGTGCTGCATGTTGTGAATTACTGCTGTAAACAGTGTTAGCATTTTGCAAACTCTACAAGTACAAAATTATAATTCAACTGAGCAGTATGCATTCGTATAATGTATGAGAAAATGACGATATGCACTAGATTACTTCTTACTCTGAAAGAAAACTCCAGGTTTTCTCCTCCCCAAACCTCCATTCCTGTGTCGTATGTCCCCAGGTAATGGAAGTAACTTTTGCTCACAGAAAACAGACCGCCTGCCATAGTGGGAGATCTAAAAAAAAAAACCCAAAAAAACAGAAGTTAATCTTGGTGTCACTATCCATCTCTTATTTGATAATACATACAAAAAAGTCATCTGAAGATATGGGTGGAATTGATACAATATCTTGAATAAAAATCTGTGATCTTGTTTTGCTCACAGAAGTTTTTTTTTTTTTTTTTTTTTTTGTAACTAGTACCTGATGACGTCAGTGGGCGAGTTACGGCGTTTCTGTTCATATTCTGGGACTGTGTGCCATGTAAAAACCAGCCGCCAGTCAAAACCACCAATCTGAGGTTCGCCGGAGTTGCCTAAATACTGGAAGGTGTTCCAGTCGATCACGTCAATGACGGGGCACACCACGGCTTTGGGCTCCTCTTTGATCCTGGAGAAAGGAGAGGAAAGCTAATGTCAAAAAGAAAAATGTTAAACTTAATATCTGTGTTAACTTCCTGTACTGCAGTTGGTCAAAATGCAGCTCAGTACCATGCCCCGAAAACTAATTCACCCTTTTACTCCAATTCCCTAGAATAAAATCCAAAGCTACCAGTTTTCTTTAGAAATCACAAAATTATTAAACAGAGTCCATCTGTAAAAAGTTTAACTTCAGTACAAATACAGCTGTCCTGTCACGACATTAGAGGGGAATTGACATCATGAAGATGGAGGGACACAGCAGACAGATCAGGAAAGAAGTTTGGCAGAAGTCTAAAGCAGAGGAAGGTTATCTTAAAAGACACCAAGTATGGCAACAATGAAACCTGCAACACATGCCTGTCCACCTAAATTGACCAATTGGACAAAGCGGAGCATCCATCAGATAGAAACCAAGCGGCTTCTGTTGTTAGCTTCTGCAGGCAACATATACAGCAAGCATGCAAATGTCAAAATATTAGTGGTGGGACATGATTAAAATTTTAAACTGAGTTAATTTTAGGGTCAGTAATTAATTAACAGCAATTCATTATGTTTTAATCAAAAAGCACGTATCTAAATAGGCATGTGAGCTCAACAATAGAAATATTGATTGATTTTGATCTGATACTCAGGTTATTCCACCATCAGATTGGTGCAAAGCTGTTCAGTTTCCAAGTGTTTCAGGAACCCTTTATCTTCTCAGTGAAGGCAGACACGTTTTTCTCTGGAGCTTGTGGATCCCTGGCATATCGACAAAGTTCTGATGGACTGAGCCGAACTAGTGAACACTCAGACTGATGGTGTGAGACAGAGGCACAAGTTGTATGAGATTATTTCACAAGCAAACTTTGGATGCTAAAACTCACTAGGGGAATGGAATTGATCTTGGAGAAGTTGCTAGTTTTCGGCCCAAAGGGAACAACCACAATAGTTTGGATGATTGTAAATAAGAGATGTATCGGTTGAGACTTTAGGGCTGATAGAAATTTTAAGTCTGCCTTATGGGGGAATTTTTCTTTTTCTGAGAATTGTTTCCTCAAAATCAGCCGGGCCCTGATGCACAGAAAAACCTTTAGAAAGTTTCTTCTCCCAGAGCTACAACGTTACAACTGACCAACTGACTCTTCTTCGGCTGCAAAACAAATGTAGCTCAGATTCTGTAAAACTTCTGCAGCTGAGCACAAATAGTCAGTTATTTTTATTGAACTTGTCTTGTAGCGGAAGTAGCATCAGTTGGTCAGTTGTATCGTTGTAGCTCTGGGAGAAGAAACTCTATCAGTTTTTCCGGTGCGTCAGTCCCCGGCTGCTTCTGAGAGAAAAATTCCCAAAAAACTAAAAACACACAGCCATGTCTCCAATGTTGCTTCTTGTGCCATCTTTCCTTGCCTGTCACTTTGTCAAGTCCATTCATTACTTGTCAGAAACTGTGGAGTACTCACTGTTTAACCCAGAAAAAGAAAAAACTAGAACGAACTTAGAATCCAAATACTCATTATTTGGGCTGATACTATACTTCTTAGATTATCCTAGTGTATTAGTAATTTCATAAATTGTGGAATACTCACTATTTGAACCAATATACTTCTTAGATTAATTTTTGGACTGTTATGCAGAGACTCCTATTGTTGCAGCCCAGAAAGGAATTAAAAGGAACTTAAAATCCAGAAATTTTTTTTTTCCAGAACAGGAACTCTTAATACTTAGAAACTATGGAATACTGACTTTTTTTGTTGTTGTTGTTTTTGTTGTTGTTTTTTTTTACATCTTGCACACATCAAGAGTCCTTTCCAGCTTTCCATCAGATCGGTTTTAAAATTACAAATTAAACCACAGTGGGCCAAGAGAAGTGGCGTAGTTGTCCAGCTACAACTGCACAAATTTGTTTTTGTAATGTGACAAAATGGAAAACGCGTTCAAGGTGTGTGAACGCATCTGCGAGGCACTGCATAATTGTGCTTCTGAAAACATCGGTCTGATTTTCTTTGCTTCCTTCTTTATTATACTTGCACATATATGCAAATACTGAAACACTTCAACATTCATAGCCTTCGCTTATTTGCGATGCACGTCTATGCAACGCTTGGCGACAGCTGAACTTGAAAACATGATCTTTAAAGTCAACACTGGAGTGAAATACTCAAACTGAAGAGTGCTACAGTTTCCTGAAAAGCAATTTCTCACCTCTTGAGCAGCGGCTCGAGCCAGCCCTCGTGGCACTCACAGTGGCAATCCAGAAAAGTCAGCACATCGCCTTTGGCAATGAATGCCCCTAGCAGCCGGGCTCGGACCAGCCCCTCCCTCTTTGTGGCCCGGATCAAACGCACCTTCTTCAACCCTGAGAGGTACTTCTCCAGTGGCTCCTTTAGGTGATCTTCAAGAAATTCAAGTAAAAGTGAGCTCTTAACCCTCTGATGCATGACATATTGACTATAAAGTCTTCCATGAGTGGGTCTTTTTGGACCCATGTTAGAAGCAATGTGATTTTATGCTACTTTTGTCATCTTGATTAAAAATTATGTTTTGTATAATACTTCCTGCTGTGTTTTATGTCACACAATAATTATTTCATTTATTTATCCATCCATCCATCTTTTTTCTTTTATCCGGGGTCAGGTTGTGGGGCAGCAGCTTAAGAAGGGAGGCCCAGACTTCCCTCTCACCAACCACTTGTTCCAGCCCCTCCAGGGGAATCTCAAGGCGTTCCCAGACCAGCTGAGAAACATAGTCCCTCCAGCGTGTCCTAGGTCTTCCCCGAAGTCTCCTGCCTGTAGGACGTGCCTGGAACACCTCACCAGGGAGGCATCCAGGAGGCATCCTGACCCGAACTATCTCATTACTGGAAGGAAGGCTAATTAAAGGGATACAAACTAATGTTTTCAATTTGTTGGACTGAGTGGTATATATGTTGTTAAAAGTCTCTGTTTATATTCACTTGCGGGATGAACTCAGTGTTATACGTTGCATCTCTTTCATTAAATGGGAGGAGAGTGGTGTAGAAACACAGTCTGTCCGAATTCGGAAAATATCTTCTATTACCACCAACTATTGGTAAGTCTGAGGCTTTCATTTGCCTTTGGTGGTTGAGAAATCCTTCAATCTGTGATTCCTCCACAGTTGTTAAGTGTGTGATTCCCCAGTCTTTCAGTTGCGAAACACAAACCTGCAGAAATTTGTCTGTCTGTGTAAACGCCAAGTCCTTTTAATGTCTGATGACTTTGAAACTCCTGCATTAGCTCACAGAAGAAAGATGAAAAAAAGAATTTGTATTGCTCTACTATGTAATATTTAACTTCACTATAATACTTAATGACTTGCAAATATTACACTCTGCCTAAATGTATGAGTGATGTAAAACTTGGCATGAGGTTGATGTGCAGCGGAAAATTTTTTATCCCAAAATTTGTTTACGAAGGATCAATGCCTTTAGCTCCCTAACACACATTAGTAAAATACAGTGCATCTTTATGACTTAACATGTGGAAATGGTGTTAGAGCAGAGGGTGAGGCAGGGACTGACTGTTTCACCTACAGGCTCATGATTCTAAATGTTTGGAAACCACCTTGAAGAGCTAAAGTCCTGGGGATCAATATTTTAGAAAATGGCTGCACCTAGAAACACAGATGTCGTTATGACTTTATTCGCCTTTTGTTCATTTGTAAGCATGCCTCAGCACTTTTTATTCTTCTGTTAAATACATGGCTAGAAAACGCTTATAAAGTTGTCCCTTACAAAACCTTTTGCTTCGTGTGTATCTATCTGACTCTGCTATTTCGCACCCTTTCAGTCACAGCTCATTTGGCAATCCATTGATTGCGCTCCGTCCGTGTGCTTCAATATGAGCACCAATAACAAGCTTTCAATCTCCTGTAACTGTCAATCTGCTGGCTTTTTAGACCTGCAGCCCTGCTGCCTGTCCATCAAGCGTCCCATCGCCTACCTCTGTCACTGTAGTCATCCACCAGCACCACCTCTCTGAGGAGGATGTCAGGAGAAGTCTCCAGCACGCTGTGGACCGTCCTCAGCAGGGTAGACCAGGCCTCATTGTAGAAAGCAATCACCACAGTGGTCGTAGGCAGAGACTTGTAGTCGTACTTGAGCTCTTTGCAACTGAAATGCACGATGGACATGATGGAATTTTTCTGCCATAATTCAAGAACACATATCTTCAGTCTCAAAACAGGATTTTATGTCTTTTGTTCTTAAAACTTTTAATACTTTTTACATTTTCATTTCAAAAGCAGGTCTTTATGTCGTCCTCCTCAAAACTTGTAATACTGGTACTCAAAACTTCTCCTCCCGCTTACACTTAGTCTCTGCTCGGACTCTCTGCTCGCTTACGGAACAGGAAACTGCCTTTTGGCACAGTCGCCTGGCAACATCTCAGCTGATAGAATGAAAGTGTTGTACTGGGTGCGTTTGTTTCCTTCTAGCGGGTGTGCCTGTGTGGCTACTACCGGTTGTAGCAACCTGCGCCACCGACTAGATGTAGGGAGAAATAAAGTCAGCTTTCTGCTCCATGTTACATGAAACATCCGCCAGCAGAGTGTTCTTGATCACTAACAGTAGCACATGATTACCGATCGCACTATTTATCCATTTATGTATCTATTGATCTATCTACATATATATAAATATAAACATTGAGTAAAAGTTTAATACTTTATGCCAATCGTAGAATATAATTTTTTTTTTCAATGTAAAACAAGAAAGTTATTATTCCTCTTCTGAAATAAAATAACATCCTGGATATTGGTGTATAACTTCAATTAAAATAAATTTGTGTTAATGCTTGATGCATGCATTTATGTATGCTTTTGTTGATATTTTTGGGCTTCTGGATACACAAATTTCCCCCAGGATAAATAAATAACAATGTTTTTATCTACATAATAAAGAACCGGGCTTCTTTAGTTTTTTTTCCATTTTAGTTTCAAAAATATTCCCAAAATTCAGTTTTTGTCTCCTTGTCGGCCATAAGAAGCCGATAAGAGGAAAATACTTGAAGCTTTCTTTCATGCACTGGCTTTCTCTGAGTTTCATGCTCCTGGAGTAGGCATTGGTACATCTTATTAAAAATACTTAAAAGTAGAATTTTGCGTGATGAAACATTTCAGCTGTTAAAACTCAATATTAAAAAAAAAAACTAGATTCGTTCCCACCACGACCTGCCCTTAAGAGTGTAGTCAAAGTCAAATGACAGGTAGGTATCCATACTCTGAGGACGCACTCTCAACTCTCAGAGGGATGAAAGTGCTCTGGGTGACACTTACAGTGGACTCCATCTCTCTGGCAGACTGCGGTGCAGTGAGATCCTGTCACTGACATAGGCGTTGATCTGGTGTTTCTGGATGCTCTCCTCCTCTTTCATTCTCTCCTCTTTGTTCAAATTCAGCTTAACAGCTCTTCCCATTTCACCCGGGGCTTTCAAATCCAGCGGGGGCTTCTCGTAAACGGGCCTCCTCAGCCGCTCGTTCTCCTCCTCTCCCTCTGCGGAGACTTCGCGTCGGTTTGCAGCGCCGACGTGCCCGGATGGGTGTTTGAAAAATATCAGATACCCCAACAAAGTGACGCCTAAGAGGCAAAGAACTAACTTGGTTCGACTCTTTCTTCCGCACGACGCCATGGTGTGGCTTCTCTGCGAGGAGTAAAGTTCTGTCGGGGTTTCATGCCCCCTTCAAGCCAGTGGGACTCTGGGGAAGTTGCTCTGCCGAACTAGAGGCTACTTTCAAACTTCGTGCTTCCGCCTGAGTTTGCGCCGCATACATACTTCCACGGGAAGTTCAGTGTCTTTGTGAATCTTCAAGAGTCCCAGCTGGTTGAGAGAGAGGAGCCTCCGTGTTGTTACTCATTTACCCGGAACCTCAATGTATTTAACTTCACGGCCGATAAGATTATAGACACTCCTCCTGTTGGACTTCCTCCAACTGTTGTGCAGCACTAAGTGTGAAAGGATTAACGCACGCGCGCGCGCGAGCGCACACACACACAGGGATTAGATTTATCTTCCTGGATTGGATGTTAGCTGACAAACTAAGAAACGAAACAAATCCAGGTCAAATTAAATAAATAAATAAATATTAAAAAAATACACTAATTGGCTTCGTTAGTAATAATAAAATAATAATTAAAAAATGACATTAATTAAATGTACTGTCTCGAACCTCTACTTTGTTTCTCGTGTCGTCTCCGAACATTTCACTAGAAGTTCAGGCTGTTGCCAAGTTGGCCCAGCTGATAACGACACTTCCGGTTTGGGGATGACAAAATAAAGTGCAGTGCGCTGCTTTTACAAGCAACCCCTGGCAATTAAGTGAAGTTAACATACTGTTATTGAAATCGATTATAAACGGTTTTTTTAAGTATACGAGTTTAAGAGAAAATCTGCTCAACATGATGCAATTTTCACTAAAAGCGAAAATTATATGCAAAGTGCTTTAGCCTACTTTGAAACAGGGATATAAACTTGATTTCTTTTTCTTTAATTATGCAAAGATTCATGAAGATCCTTAAATATTCTAAATTTTAAAGTTTAATAATATTGAAGGGCTCCAATTAAAGTCAGCATTAAATGCTTACTGGAAAACCATGGTGGAATTTCTCCATGGACCATAATCTTGAAAACTCTATGAAGAAATTGCGTTGTCGTTTTTTTGTTGTTGTTGTTGTTGTTGTTGTTGTTGTTTTTTATGTCACTATGTTCCAGAGATAACATTTCCATTATGAGAAAAAAACGCTTTTAATTTGAAGGGCTAACTAACAGCGGCAGACTTCAACGTGGAACAGACGAGGAGCACTGGGGTTACTGCAAGTCAATCAAGTAAATCTTTTAGACAAGTTCCAACAATCCATCGCCATAAAATCTTTTGTTATGGATGAAATGATTCTGTCTCTCCTCAAATGATCATATGCACACTTGCTGCTGCTGCTGCTGCTTACATAACCATAGCACATAAGACTGGCGACAGCCACACAAAATGAAGCTGATGACTTCAGAACTCGCCTCTCTTGGTTGCATCTTTAAGGTGTGGTAAGTGTGACCCTGCGACCAGACGGTGAAAGTCACTCTGTATCCACTTATTTTGTAACATTCGATCATTTAAAAAAATATGTATATATTTTATTTTATTTTATTTATTTTTTTGGCATTAAATCCTGTTTTAAACTTTACAAATGTCATTATCTCAGGGTAAAACTCTGAGGAGCTTTACTGGTAACTGGTGAAACGAACCTGGTTGTTGCACAGAGAGCGCAAAAAAGGTGCAGGAGGACAATTTGTTTTCCATTTCTTTCAATACGTATTAGTGTTGGTCTGCTTTGATTAGTTAGTTAATAAACTAAATATGCATACATTTTTTTGTTTGTTTTATTCAGTTATTTACATCTGGTTTAAATGTCTTATTTATTATTTTTAGAGGATTTTGGTTCTAACTGTTCTTTATCTATTTTTTTATTTAGTTATTTTTTAATTAATTAATTATTATTATTGTTGATGCATTTGTTTTATTTTACTTAGCTGGCTTTATTTATTTATTTCACATACTAAACGTATGTTGGATTTTTTGGGATTTATTAATTTAATTACCTCCTTTTACTTCATCAGAAAGATAGCTGACTTTTTTTTATTATTGAATATCAGACATAAAACCATACAAAGTATTATTGCGCTGAAATTAACTTGATTTCATGCACATATTTTTAATCATATGAACTACCACAGTTAGCTGCGCTGCTTGTGATAAATACCATCTCTGAAACGCCTTCAGTGACCCTGGGAAAATCCGTCTCCAGCCTCCAGTACATTCACTATGAAGGATTTATTACGCCATTTGTCAACCAAGTTGCCACTCAAACGAAAGCAGTATGAAAACTCTTGACACCAAAGCTGAAATTTGACACAAAATGTATGTTTGAGTAAATTAAAATGGTAAATAATTAAGGTGAACGTTCAGGGCCAGAAGGTAATTTGAGTGTCATGCTGTTTGATCGAGCACCCATGTTGTAAAAAAAAACCATACAAAGAGAAGCAGGAAGGCAACAAGTCAGCCGTTGTAGTGTTGTAATGTATCACGGTAGACCGGGCTTGTCGCGTCTGTCAAGAAGCACAATGTTAATGTGGATGGATGAGAGCATTTTCATTTAGGACAGGAGGATGGATCAAATTTTCCATGGGAGAGATATTTGGTGCAAACAACAGAGGTATAGTGATGGAAAAATAAAGCCCTGGTGACTTTAGCTGAGCTATATCCTTTCAGGTCTCTGTTTATAAGCACGAAAAAGTTTTCATCCATTTTTTATTAGGACTAGAAATCATTAAAGGAGTGAACTAACCAACACTGTCTAATACAAGTCTGACAATGCTTTTTTGACACGTTACGTAAACCGTGGGATGGTTCTTCCCTCAGATGATTTTCATTAAGCATTCTCCTTTTCATATTAGATTTTAGACACAGGACGGGATGACTAACATGTCTAAAAGTGGGAATGAAAGGAATGATCCAAACGAACCACCAGGCTGTTATTAAGCAACCGAGAGCTTTAAGCAATGTGAATCATGTGCAGTATGGTCTGATTGACTCATCTTCTCTTGTTGTGTTCTCCCTTGCAGGCCCTGTGGTGTTCAAGAATATCCCTCACCTTCTGTTTGTTTAAATGTCATAAACGTAAGATTTTGATGTGTAGACGATCATCATTTTGTTTGTTGTTACATGGCTGGAATACATCATGGGGACAACTACATAAGTACAGGTGTGTAAAGTACAATATAACAGTGCACGGTTATTTGCGCCAGTTTGCAAATTGTTGGTTGCATTATAGAAAGGAATATTTCTATGCCTTTATTTTCACCTGTACTGCCTTATAAATAGAACTGCAAAATTGAACGTTTTGGCCTATATAATCAAATATGCTATTTGTTTGAGGAATTCAACTACCACTCCTATTTTGGAACTTGGAGGTGGCAGCATCATGGGTAGCAGATCTGGAATGAAAGTAAGGAGGAAGAATATCCAGAAACTAGAGCCTACAATAAAATCAGTTACATGACAGATTGTATTGAAAACTTTCTCTGCAAATAGTGAATACAGCCATCTGTTAAAGACTGATGAAGCTGCTAATATGTAAATGTTTTTCCTCAACGGTTGTGAGCCCTGTGTTGTTGTAAACACTGCATCATCATGTGTTTCTGAGCTCATTCAGTGACGTCAGCTGTGTGATCATGTCGGTTTTTAATTGCACCACTTTCTCTAAGACAGCCCAAGACATAACTGTGTTTTATGTGACTCATGTCTTGCTCACAGAAATATTTTTGCTTCATATTTTCAACAAGTTTCCTGTTGGATTTTTGCCTCTGTATTTCTCCCCCTGCATTGTGTCGCCTTCTCTGTCAGGGTCTGTGTGTGCACTATGTGTGCTGTGGGAGTTGCCTCTACACACTTGAGCTGTGTTGATACACAAATTCACAACTTTTTTACCCTCCCTTCATCAATAGACAATTGTTACTGTGCATCCGATGATGCCTGGATGTTTGTAGGGAGGAAATAGTTCCTTCTTTCTGTGACTCACCCTGCTGTCTTTTACGCAAGCTTGCCACCACCGCCTGTTCATGTACACCACAGACTAGAAAAACAAGTTCAACTTTAAGAGACTCTTTTGCATCAGTAAAATCCGTAATGATGCTTGGTAATATGTTTCACGAGTCCATTACTACAGCTTAACTGCTTAATCTGTGCAGTGTTGCCGCTGTTATTGTGGGCAACACAGAGGCACACATCTCAACCAACCAGGCACACGCATAAGTAAGAGTGGCTTCGTTTGGCTAGTGAGCCCAACATGCATGTTTATGGGGGAAGCAGGAGTACATGGACAGTACCCTGGCCTGTGCATGGAGAACATGCAATTTTTCACTGTGCTCCACCGTCTTCTCGTTTTATGTTGCGACATTGAGAACTTGAAGAAATCTGGGGGAGTTGGTCTGATGGACAAGCTGCATTCAGCTTCTATGCACCACAGATCTGGGACAAGCTTTCGGAAAATTGCAAAACAGGTGAAACGCTGAGTTTCTTTAAATCTTGGCTAAAAATTCAACTGCTTAGAGTTGCTTTTGTACCATAATTAATGAAACGCTTCACAGCATTTTGATGTGATGACACTTGGAAAAATGGAACGTTTCAATAGTTGTTTTTTTTTGTGCTTTTATGTTGCGAAGCACTTTGTTACTGAAATATGCTTTACAAATAAAATTGGTGTTGGCTGATACATGCTACATAATCTCAACAGCCAATTTATTAGGCACACATTACTATTTTAAAAAAATTCTTTATAGCTTATCTTCAACAATTTCTCTGAAACATTTCTCCATATTGACTTGATGAATTTGCTAAAGATGTGATGACTGCACATCCACGATACCAATCCACAGAAATGGTGCCCAGTGTTGTGCATTCAGAGATGACATTCTGCACAACTTATATGTGACAGACAGTCTTTTAAGCTAGTGTTGGCTTTTTATCATTTCGTACATGTCCACCCATTCTCCTATTTGAAAATGCCTCTTAACAAAGCTTACTGGGTATTTAGTCAGTCTGCGGACTTTTTGCCATTAAGATGGTTGTGTCTCAGAATTTCTGCATTTTTTAAAAAATACTAAGACTGGAGCTACAGCATATTCAAAGCAACTTAAATTTAACATTTCCTTATTCTGATGTTTTATTAGGAAGTCATCTTCAATGCATGTAGTCGCTGAAATACCTTGAGTCTCTCCCATATAAGTCTCTACCATATGATTGACTGATTCATAATTTTGTCAAATAGCAACTGAACACAGTTTCCATTTTCTCTTGTGCATGTATTGGTTAACTCCAGTTTTTTTTTTTTCCTTATTCCAATGAAATAGGTTTGGTTAAGTCTCTCATTTTTTCTTACTTGGGCACAGGGAAGGGCATGTATATCCTTGCTTATCCTGAGTGATTAAATGCTGACCTGCCTGTGACGCACACCTTTCCTCTCGTCATTTGACC